CATCTTGTGGCACTTCAACACTGAGGTAGAAGCTGAGGAGGCCGAGGTCACTCATGTCGAAGATCTTCTTCATCTGTGCCTTGAACACCTCCACTTCTCAATCCTCCACGCCGGTGATGATCAGGTCGTCGACGTAGACGCCGACGAGCAGGACAGAGCGCCCACTGCCCCGCCGGTACATCGCCGCCCCATGAGTGCTCTGCTGGAAGCCCATATCCTTGAGCGTGGCATCTAGCTTGGCGTTCTAGACACGCGGTGCCTGACAAAGACCATAGAGGGCCTTGTGGAGGCAATAGACCTTTCCTTCTTCAGCAACGGCGAAGCCGGGCGGTTGCTGCACGTACACCTCCTCCTTGAGGTCGTCGTTGAGGAAGGCGGATTTGACATCCATGTGGTGGACGCGCCAGCCTTCTTAAGTCGCCAGCACGAGGAGGACCCTGACTGACTCCATGCACACCACAGGAGCGAATGCGTCTTCGTAGTCAATCCCCTCCTACTAGATGAAGCCGCGCGCCACCAGTCTTGCCTTGTGCTTGATCACCGCACCCTGCTCATCTTTCTTGAGCTTGATACCCATTTCAGGGTGATGGGATGGTGACCATTGGGCAGCGGCACCAGCTCCCAAGTGTAGTTTTGCTCCACCGCCTTGATCGCCTGCTCTATTGCTGCCCACCATGTCCTATCATCCTTGGCCTCAGCGAAGTTGGTGGGCTCGCCATCGTGTGTCAGGTGCAGCTCAACGAAGAGATGTTGCGGTGGCAGAGGTGGAGACTGGTCGCCGATGATGTTAGTCATCTGTGGAACTGTAGCGGCTTATTATCATAGTAGGCATCGAGTCTCTCTTCATCATCCTCCAGTGGAGTGGCAAACTCCACTTGATCACCGATCACAGCTGCCGCCGCCGGTGAAGTCGGTGAAGCAGTAGGGGCAGTAGGGGATGCTAGTGGAGGTGTTGGTGAAGCCGGCAGGGGTGTTGGGGAAGTAGCCATGGCTACTGATGTCCCTCTAAGCTCCCCTGGACTTGGTGACGGTGAGCACAGCGCAGATAGTGGTGGTGCTGGTGATATAGCTCCAGCTGCCACTAGAGAGGCACCTTGTGCTCCCCCCGCTCCTCTAGCCAGCCAATACTCGATGGTGAAGTCGCTTGCCACCGAGGCTGAGCTACCGGTGTCCAGAGTGGACCAGTCCTAGCCGCGCCCCTCATCGAAGATGATGTCGTGGCTGATCTTCACAAGTTGCATCACCGGGTCGAAGATGTGGTATGCTTTGGCTCCCTTCGTGTACCCGATGAAGATGTTGGGCTTGCCGCGGTCATCGAGCTTGCGGAGCTGGCCCAACTCCTTGGTGTAGGAGACACAGCCGAACGTCTTCAGATGGCTCACCATCGGTGTCTGCCCATGCCAAGCCTCATAGGGGGTCTTGCCCTGCAAGCTTTGAGTTGGCGAGCGATTGAGCAGATGGACCGTCGTCATCACCGCCTCCCCCAATACTTGGCCGACATCTTCCTCTGCTTTAGCAGTGATTGGGCCATGCCGACCATGGTCTGATTCTAGCATTCCACCATGCCGTTCTGCTGCGGCAAGTGAGGCATCAAGAAGTGGCGCTGGATGCCCTCTCCTACGTAGTAGTCGGTGAACTCACCGCCGTTGTCGGTGCGTAGCACCCGGAGCTTGCGGCTGCTCTCCTTCTCCGTTGCAGCATTGACATGCTTGATGGTGCCCGCGACAGCATCCTTAGACGGTAGCAGGACGGCCCACATGAAGCGGGATGCATCATCCACCAGCAAAAGGAAGTAGCGCCGCCCGCCCAGAGTTGCCGATGTCATAGGTCCACATAGGTTGTCGTGAACCAGCTCTAGCTACTCTTGCCCGTGATACTCTGTTTGTTGAAGGAAGGGGCGCCGGTGCTGCTTCATCGTGACGCAGGTGTTGCAGAGTTGCTCGACGTGCTTGATCACCGGCCTCCCGCGCACCATGGCCTCCTTACTGAGCTGGTGCAGCGTCTTGAAGTGAAGATGGCCGAACCACTCATGCCAGCGCCAAGCTTAATCATCCTTCCTTGTGGTGAGGCAGAGCGGTTGCATGGTCTTGAGATGAAGGACGTAGAGGTGGCTGGGCCCACGATGCACCTTGATGAGGAGACGACCGCGGCTATCCCAGATGTGGAGCACGCCCTTGTCAATTTCCACCTTGAACCGGCCTTCATCGAGCTGGCCGAGGCTCATGATGGAGTTTTGTAGCGCCGGGATGAAGTAGACACCGTGGAGAACGCAGTGCTCACCGGTCTTCCCTTGGAACACGATCAAGCTCACGCCCTGGATCTCCACCCTTGACACATCGCCGAATCGAACAAAACCACGAACAGAGGTGTTGACGTCAGAGAAGAGCTCGCGACGGCCGGTCTTGTGGTGGGTGGCGCCGCTGTTGAGGTACCAGCAATCCAGCTTGTCCTCGGCGAGGCTGGTGTTGAGGAACGCTCGGGCTTGGGGCTCCTCGATGTCGAGACTAGTGTCGGCCTTGGAGTAGAGGATGTCCTCCTCTATTTCTAGCTCTAGGAAGCTGTGGGCGAGGAACAGAGTCGCCTCGTCATCATTCGCCTCCACGATGTGCGCCGTGCCACCACGCTCACGTTGAGGCTGAGGATAGTCCTTTGCCTAGTGGCTGGCACGGTGGTAGTTGAGGCAGGTGTCATCATGGTTTACCTTGCATTCACCGCCATTGCCACCAGCCTTCTCTGCTTTCCCGCCGCTGCCACGGTCACCACGATTGCCCTTGGGCTTCTGCTTCCTGCCGCTGTGAGGACATCGGCGGTGCTCCTTGGATGAACTGGACGAGCCAGAGCCGTCTCCACCCTTCTTCTTCTCCTTTTGCCGAGCGAGCCATTGCTCCTCAATGTACATCAGCTTCCTGCCAATTGAGCTTAGCTCGGTCGGAGATTCTTCCTCAAGATCATCCACCATCTTCAGCCTTCCGGTGACCTCCTCGATGGTGAGGTCCTAGAAGTCGAGGAGGGTCTCGATCGCGATCTTCAACTGGGCATACTTCTTTGGCGTGGCTCGAAGCAGATTCTCCACCGCCTGCTCCTCCTTGAGGTCCTTGTCCCCGTGGTGAGCCATCTACTGCTTCAGCGTGGAAAGACGAAGGGCAAAGTCCTCGATCTGCTCACCAGGATGGAAGGCAAGGTTCTCTCACTCCTTGCACAGTCACTGTAGCATGGCACGGCGAACGTGGTCGATGCCGATGCGCACCGCAGTGATGGAGTCCTAGGCCTCCTTGGTAGACTCCTTACCCGTGAGCGGCACGCCCATCTCCGGTGGTACTCCGACGATGATGGCCTCGAGCGCACGCTAGTTGTCATGGTACGGGAGGTCATCATACTCGATGGTGTCCCAGAGTTGGCGCGCCTGCATCTTGATCTTCATGAGCAGACTCCACTCGTGGTAGTTGGTCTTGGTCAGCATCGACCATGGCATGCCCATGTCGGAGTCCTTGTACACCGTCTAGACAGTCGTAGGTGACCCACGATGGCCTCCGCATCCGCGACTATGCTTCGACGACGGTGAAGGGATCCGGCGCCTCACCGGGCTCCGCTATCCTCCTCTGGGCTGCCACTCGAACTCTACGTGCAGCACGACGGCTATGTTTGCCATTGCCTGCCTCGCCGCCTCGATCGCCTGCGTGGCTGTGGCCTCTACCGCGGCCAGACGCTGAGTGCGATCGGCGCTGGGGTTGATCACCACCCTTCCGCTGGCATTGTTGCCGGCGTTGGTGGCGGCGGCGGCTGCACGCAGAGCACGCTCGCTGGAGGTGGACATGGCCTCTGGCTCTAGATACCAATTGTTGCAAAGGAACTAACTAGACAAATGGAATTTGGTCTGCCAGAGGCCAGCTTGGCCATAGGCCTCTTCATTGAATTTATAGAAGTAGCAAACTTGGGATACAAGAAGGTCCTCAACCACTACAGCATATACTAACTGCATAAAGCAGATGCTGCCTTGGATGCTAAGGCATCTGAAAACAGCTAGACAGTAAACAATAACTAGCTTAGATGGTGAAAGGTAAATAGCTAAAGTAGGTAACTAAGATACATTGAGGATCAGCACTAGGCTAAATCCTCAGAAAAAGCCACAGCTGCAGCAGTTGCTGCTTCTCTTTGCAGCTGAACACCCCAGTTGGTAGAACGGGCTCTAGTTCACGTCTTGCAGTTCCTTTTCTTATTATTTAAAAAAATTGGGTGTATTATTGTCATAAAGTTACAAGTGTTTATGGCATTTGTATAGGTCCAACCCATTTGAAGGCAACTGAAAGGCCAAAACAGATTGATTAAGGTGCCACCACCAAACAAACCAAGCTTGCATTGGAATCTTCCTCAAGCAATGGTAGCAATGTGCCACTGCCTGCATCCCAACACCCTCTACATGCAACAGATGCAGATGAGGATGAGAGTGTGAAGAAGCTTAATGAGTGTGCCACAATATATCTATCTCTCCAGGTACTCTCTCCTTTCCTCACTACAGGGCCTTTCCAAGCACAAATCACTTGTTTCCTTCAATACCAATCTTAGGCCTCTTAGATTTGGATCTCATCATTATTGTTTGCAGGACTGCCTCATCGAGTCAAACCACAACTGGAAGGTCTGCCAAGCACGTAGGTCTTCTTATTCGCAATATCTTTTCTAACAAGATTTGTTAGTTCCCAGATGAGATTGGAATTGTATACTAGCAAAGCAAATTCAAATGCTTCGAACAAAGTTGCTTTTAGTTGATTGATATTTGCAAGATGTGTAAGTCTATTGAGAACTGAGTTCAGAGGGCAATTGTTTTAGTTATAGGATAGGATTTATTTGACTAATTTGGCTAAGCTAGGTGTTAGAGAGTGACCAACCAGTGTATTCCAGGCCCAATGGGACTCATATACAAGGTTACATAAGTACAAAGAAGTTCTCCAAGTAGAGAGAAAATACATAACACCTATACATCATAACACCCCCCCCCCTCAAACTCATGGTGGATCTACAACACTGAGTTTGGAGAGTAGGAATCTATGTTGAGCCCGGTTATGTGCCTTGGTGAAGAAATCAGCTAACTGAACCTTTGAAGGCACATGGTGGAGCGTCACAACCTAATCATGTACCTGCGATCTCATGTAGGAAGCATCAACGCCAATGTGTTTGGTGAGCTCATGCTTGACCGGGTCCCGAGCAATACTGATCGCACCGGTGCTGTCAGAAGAGAGAGGAGTGGGTGCAGTGGTAGGCACACCAAAGTCCTCAAGAAGCAATCGTAGCCATGTCACCTCTGCAGTCACAGTGGCCATAGCACGTAGCTCAGCCTCAGCACTCGAGCGAGAACTTCCGTCAGTTTACGTTGGAACTGTCGGAAGTTCTGGCCCAAACTTTGAAACTTCTGACAGTACTGATACGCCTATTCACCCAATCCTTTTAATCAATCATAATCTAATTTCTGAATACCTGATTGATGATGGCCGATGGGTGATCCCATCTGGTCATCCACTGTGACACCATTCGCTCATGGGGGTGGGGGTCGTCCCTCGTTGTGTGCATAAGAGCATCATCGGCATGTCGTAGCTTTGCGGTGTCATGAAGCGACGTCTGGCAATTGGGTTGAGCGATAGGGAGCGGCGTCACTATGTCAGTGATGGGAATAACCAAGCCGAATATCGAAATAAGAAAGGATGACAAGCTAATTCCTAATTGGTGGACTTTTGTTAAGTGTATGGGCCTTTAAATTTTCATTTGAATGGGCTATATACTAAGTAAGTACTATATACATACATATATTCATGGGCCCCCGACCGTCGCACTTGGGGCATGTTTGGATACGAACCTGGACGCAAGATGCCTGGCTAGGAGCTCGCCTGGGAACTGCCTGTGCAGTGTTTGGATGAAGCCCTGAGAGCTTGACTGACCCAGGCAGCCGTGCGCACGTCCAGGCGATGGAAAACGTCCGCCTGGCTCAGGCTCCGTAGTTTGCCTGGACGCAATAAAGTATTCTATTCTTAATTGACGTTAATGGTCACTTGATTAAGTCCATAAGACCATGATTACCAGATTTTTCCTCTCCTTTTTCCATGTAAACGCTAACATAGTTTGTATTCTGAAGCTTTCTACTCTGAAGCTTTCTACTCTTTAATTAAATACATATAGAGATCTTTCATTAGAAAAATTTTAATTTTTTAGCAAAGAAGAGATAATTAACCTAAGTTATTATTCTAGTAAACACACCATAGTAGTGTTCATTAATCCTATACAAACAATAAAAAAGTAAAATTTCACTCGCATAAACATTATCAGGCACATGCATCCAACCAAACAAATTTTCTCTCACATTGCCTCACCAGGCAAAACTCATCAAATTTTCAGGCAACTTCCAGGCAGCATTTTTTACCAGGCAAGTCACCCAGGTCTCTATCCAAACAGGCCCTTGCTGCCTACCCCTTAAGACGACCCTGCACTCAATACATGTGTGCCGGGACTCGGGGTGGATAATGGTGGAATTTTAATTTTTATATCGAGCTTTAGTGTGTATTTTCGCATGTTGTTATGATTGGTTGGCAGCTGACAGCGTATACGCCAGCCAGGCCTCGGGAAGCAAGTATCTAGGGCGTGTTTGATTTCTGGCCCGGAGGCCTGGCTGCGCCCGTGGGCTGCAACAGCTCGTCCTGGGCCCACCACCGAGCCCGGCCCGCCAGTTGCAAAACTCACTCTCTCTCCTGGCTCCCAGCAAAAGCAATCCAAGTCCGTTTCCTGGCGGCCCGGCTGGCTTCGGCGCTGAAGCGCTCGCTCGAGTGACGTCCCGGTGGTGTGGTGTTCTCGGTGGCGTTCGCGGTGGCGGTGTGGGACCTGTGTGCGGGAGCTGCGGGAGGTGCGCGTTTTGGGCGTCGCGTTCGCGGTGGCGCGGCACCTGGCGGCGGTGCGGGAGCTGCGCGCGGGGGTCGTCGCAGATGGGTACCCGGCTGCGGTTTCCTCAAGGGCGCGGTGCCGCAGATCCCGCTGTCCGTGCTCAACTCTGGCGAGGTGCAGCGCAGTGTCCCCGCCTGAGACGTCGCGGCGGTCGAGCGCGGCGGCGACGGAGGACGCGAGACGGGCCTCCCCGGCGGCGTCGACGGCGGTGATGACGCGAGATGGGTGTGCGAGCGGCGGGAGGCCTGCGAGGATGGCCTGCAGTGTTGCGTCGGTGGGGCTGGCCATGTCCATCGTGCAGGCCATCCTCTGCCATGGATCCGCGACGTGCTGGTCATCCAGGTCCTCCTCGCATGCCATCCTCCGCCATGGATGGCCAGGTCCACCTCACAAGCCATCCTCGGAGCAGGTCCAGCATGCCCAGGTCCACCTCTGCCATGTATTTGCGACGTTCTGGTCATCCAGGTGGGGCTGGCCACCGCGTAGGGCCTCGAGGCGTCACTGTGCTGTCCGCCGGTGGCGAGCAGGTGCGGCAGCAGTGGGGCAGGAGCGCAAGCAAATGGTGCTAGCGCCGGCGTGCAGCCGCAGCATGTCGTTCAGCTGCCGCTCTCTTGTTCAGCCTAGCATATGTTCGACGAAATGCCAAAGACAAGATGAAGGGAAGTTGTAGGAGTAACATTACCAAGTTCTAAGTGCAAGGTCGTCATATCTTTCTGGCCAGGCAAACAAACATAATCTGAACTGAGTCCAGCTCTACTGGAACAGAAGAATCAAACACACGAAGTTGCACCATCGGGGCCGGGCTTGAGCTGGCCATGCCGGGCAGGACCATGAAATCAAACACGCCCTTAATAATTGGTTGCTTCTATGGCTTTCTGGGCCTGGCTCTACTCATGCAAAAAGCGCTCCTCAGCCTGGGTCCCAAGATAAGCTCACTAGAAGCGAGCAATTACCAAATAATAACATTGTTAGTGCATGATATCGAAATTAATTAATATTAGTATATCTTAGATAATATTAAGAAATAATTAGATAAATTAAGAGCAAACAAAAATGGTTATAAATAATAAATATGGTGATTGTGTTTATTTACTTAATTTATCTCATTTAATATATTCTTACGCGAACAACCAAATAGCATCTTAACTCAGCCAGGCCAACTATATACAGCTATGCAAGTAATTAAACATGGTAGTATTGTATACGCTGTCTCCAAATAACGTTATTGTGTTTATAGATACGAACCAGGCTGGTCTGTTTGGCTGGTTACCTCGGCCTGCCACACCACAGTTACGGCCGCGCCACAGGTTTGGCGACAAAATAGTTCGCCAGACTTTTAGCGTGAAAATGTGACGCAAAACACTATAGACAAGCTTGAGCAATATTGGCACGCCAAAACTACGGTTACGAACCAAACGCCAGCCAATCGAGTCAACGCGCCAGACTTTACCAAACAGACCTCCGACCCATACAAATACAGGAGCTCCGAACCCTCTTCAGGCCCTCCCCCTCACGTACAGATACAGCCCGTCTGTTCGGCCATTCCCCAATCCCCGCATCGCCTCTATCGCCTGTGCCCCTCTGCCACCTCGCCGCCGCCATGACAACAGGGTCGACCCTGGGTTCACCCCCCTCTCAAGGCTCTCAGGTCTGCACTCCCTCGCACTCCTCACAGATCATTGGTACCTTGGTTGTGAATTGATATGCGCTATAGCTTTGGCTTCTTCCCCTGCCCCTTCTTGCCCTGTGGCCCTGGCGGCGTGCATGTTGATGTGGGTGGTTCGTTTTGTGCCAGATATGTCATTATCAGGTGTTGATTTTGTTGGATATTGCAGTGGCTCTATTAATCACTTGTCGCATCTGGTTGTTTTGTCTCGAAAGGCTTGTGTGCGTGCTAGAGCGTACTATAGTATGCATGCCTTCGTGCAATTTTAGTTCCAAAGACATTGGGGACTAGGGTTGGGTCCACACATAGGTTCTTCCGCAATACATTTTGATAAAAAGAAAAGTATCTTTCTGAAATTGGTTCTAAAGCACCCAATGATTTGCTCTTTGAGTGTTGTATAATCAATTAGCTGTTGCTTTCATGTCATGCACTGTTTTTATTAGGTGAATCGATGCAGACAACGTGTTTTACATCTATTATTACCGAAGTTGCTGGTGTGCTGTTATGCGTTTCTTCAGATTTTAGGTGTAAATGTCTAAGGCTATTTGCTAGTAACAGGGAGGAATTCAAGAGAACAAAACAATCATTTCCTGTTCTTAGAAATCCAAGTGATACTGTTATGCATTTCTTCAGATTTTAGGTGTAAATGTCTAAGGCTATTTGCCAGTAACAGGGAGGAATTCAAGAGAACAAAACAATCATTTGCTGTTCTTAGAAATCCAAGTGATACCGTTATGCATTTCTTCAGATTTTAGGTGTAAATGTCTAAAGGCTATTTGCCAGTAACAGGGAGGAATTCAAGAGAACAAAACAATCATTTGCTGTTCTTAGAAATCCAAGTGATACATAGTCTAAATCCATTTAGGCAGGTTTTGAAGATCCATGTGTTCCTGTGACCCAGGCACCCAGCCATTGTGGGGATCTTAGTAACTTTGCAGTTCTTAGGATTCCAAGATAATATATGTTCTATAACCAGCAATCAGCAGTAGAGTATGAAATAAAAGTAGTGGTGTTAGTTTGCCAAATGTGCCCTTTTTTTTTAACTACGCAGAAGACAACAGTATAGGAAATCGCTATGCCTAAATTAGATTGAAAAGTGGATGTTTTAGGCGAATGAGCACAACAGTATAGATAAATTATTGCTACCTTGCTAATGTTGGTCCCTCACTGCCTTGCACAGGTAAGCAGTAAGCTTACCAGCACACACACGCACTCACTATGGCTAGAAGTAGAAGAAGGGGTGAGCACAGGCGCGCACACACACAGCACAAGCACCAGCGTTGGCCAGAGTTCTGCTCTTTTGGTTTGTGGCAACTGAACTGGCTGTTTTCATTGCATAGAGGTAGAGTATATACAACTCATGTACCAAATATAAGGTACACATGAGCATGGCTGAGTATAGCCCCAACTACTCCTAGTACTAGCAGTATAATTTCTACCTCAACCCACTACCAAGACATGGCTAATGTATTAGCTACCAACTAATGTACCAGTGGTGGCCTATTGCCCTACTGCTACAGCAACTAGGACAGCAGAGAATGACCTATTGCCAAATCTGTTGTGTAGCAAACAAAGAGTGAGAGGTCAACAGCAGATTATGTCTTACAATTCTTCCCCTAATCCTGCTGCTAACCCAAAGCATTGACCTCATCCATGCCAATCATCTTCCTCAACTCCATGAACCGCAGGCGCCCGAGTGACTTGGTGAGGATGTCAGCGAGCTGTCTGCCGGTCTCGACAAACTTGATGATGATCTGTCTTCCATCGACGCAATCCCGGAGGAAGTGGAACTTGATGTCAATGTGCTTGCTCCGGTCGTGGAGGACAGGATTCTTGGCGAGGGCGATGGCGGGCTGATTGTCCACCATCAGAGCTGGCGGGTGAGCTTCCTCGCCGGTCAGCTCGCCCAGCAGCCAGCGCTACCAGACAGCCTGGCACGCCGCCGTGACCGCTGCGAACGTACTCCGCCTCACGTCGACAGCGCCACAATCTTCTGCTTCAACGATTGCTAGGCGATGGGGGCTGCTCCAAGGAACACAAGCACACCAGAGGTGCTCCGTCGCCCGTCGATGTTGCCTGCCATGTCTACGTCGCTGAAAACAGTGAGCTCCAGCTCACCTTCCTTTGCCTTGGGGGGTACCTCACTGAAGACCGTGAGCTGCAGCCCACCCTTGCCGCCACTCTTGGGGAAGATGATCGCTTGATCGAGCGTCCCCTTAACGTAGCGCAGCAACCTTTTCATCGCCGTCCAGTGATCCTCACGTGGTTCCTCCATGAACCAACTAACATACCTGACCGCGAACGCGATGTCCAGCCGAGTATGCGTGAGGTAGCGCAGTCTACCGACGATGCTCCGGTAGCGCGTCGCGTCCACCTTCGCCGCCATGCTGAGCTTGGACAGCTTTAGGTGCTCCTCCATTGGAAATGCGCACGGCTTACACTCCGCCATGCCACTGCGCTACAGGAGCTTCTCCGCATAGGCACGCTGGCCCAAGGAGATGTGCTCCTTCCCCTGCCTCACCTCGATGCCGAGGTAGTAGAAGAGTGCGTCGAGATCATTCATTTTGAAACGAGCAGCCATCTCGCGCTTGAAGCCGTCAATGTCCTTCGCCCGCGCTCCAGTGACGATCAAGTCGTCCACATACACGCCGACGACGAGCTCCTCCCCCTGTCGCCGCGTGTACAGCGCGTGCTCTATGGCGTAGCGAGTGAACCCAAGCTCGCCTAAGGTGGCGTCGAGCTTGGCGTTCCACGTCCGAGGGGCCTGTCGCAGCCCGTAGAGTGCCTTGCGCAGCTTGAGTACCTTGTGCTCAGCGCCCTTGACAGCGAAGCCCGGAGCTTGCTTGACGAAGACCGTCTTCGCGAGCTCGCCGTAGAGGAACGCAAACTTGGCGTCGAGGTGGTGGACGCGCCAATCCTTCGCTGCTGCCATGGCCAACAGCAAGCGAACGGACTCCATTCGCGCGACCGGAGCAAAGGCTTCCTCGAAGTCGATGTCCTCACGCTGCACGAAGCCGTGGGCGACGAGCCGAGCCTTGTACTTGACAATGGCGCCGTGCTCGTCTCGCTTCACCTTGTAGACCCACTTCAACCCGATCAGCCTGCAGCCTACCGGTGGATCCACCAGCTCCCATATCCCATTGTCCTCGATCGCCCTCATCTCCTCCAACATCGCCCGGCGCCAATTGGCGTCGCGTTCAGCCACTATGAACGTCGGCGGCTCCTCTGCGCTGACAAGGAGTAGTTCTGGGTCATTCAGAAGCCGGCTAGCTAGCCCAGGAGCTCCCCCTTCGCCGACATGGAAAGCATCAACGAACTTGTCGATGTCGGTGGGTGGTGATGTGAACTCCAGTGGGTGTGTCCCCTGTGCTGCCGTCGTAGGGGACTGTGGTGGAGGTGAATGTGCCGCTGCTGGTGGAGCCTGCTCTCCAGCGCCATCATCTCCTCCTTGGATCGCTCGACAGCAAATGTGCTACTGACACCAGCAGCTACCCCGACGCCTTGATCCTCCCAATCCCAAGTAGCCATCTCGTCGAACACTACATCCCTATAGACCACCACCCTGTCTCCCTTGGGATCATAGAGCCGATAGGCCTTGCTGCCCTCCTCATAGCCCAACAGC